CGAATTGAGGGTGTTTTAAACTCTCGTCCGATATCTGCATTATCCGAAGACCCTGCTGATTTGACAGCATTGACCCCGGGTCATTTTTTAAGAGGAGCTCCATTAATGGCGTTACCCGAACAAGATTACCATAATATGACTCTTATCAATAGATGGGAAAAACTAAAGGTTATTCACCATCAGTTCTCTATCCGATGGAAAGAAGACTACCTCAAATCCTTACATAAACGATATAAATGGAAAAACTCTCTCCCAAATATGCAAGTTGGTGATCTTGTAGTGATAATGGATGACTTACAACCACCACACGAGTGGCGTTTAGGTAGAATTCATAAAACATACCCAGGTTTTGATAAGAATGTGCGTGTAGCAGATATTCGCACAGCTTCAGGAATTATAAATAGACCCATAGTTAAGTTATGCTATCTCCCTTTTATGAATAAGGAAAATTCTCTTGATATTAACGAAACCTACATATAATATCGTTCTTCTCGGAAGTTTAATACATAACACATCTAACACATAACACATCAAACACATAACACATCTAACACATAACACATCACATAACACATAAACAACCCTAATCCCTGCCATATAGTTGTGAAAATTCTAATTGTATTATTTTTTTTTTCAGCACTAGGTACAACCGCAGACTACAACCAACTCGACCAAGTCAAAGCCGTAGTAACCATCAAGTCCGTGTGCATCGTCGGATACCGGATGTGTATAAGTGCACCCTATGTAACAAGTTTCATGCACTTCGATTTTGCAGGAAGTTTTTAAACATGTCGGTGAAAAGGAGGACAGAAATGGTTGACAGGCATCGTTATTGCAAGAATTGTCTTGCCAGAAGCCACAGTATAAGGTCGTGTACATCCATGAACAACTGTAAGAAATGCGACCGCCTCCACCACACTCTCTTACACCCTACAAATAAAAGGGTTATTCGCTCTCGAGCTGTTCAGCTGAGAACCTTGCGCCAACAACAACATCAGCCAACAACAGGTGGACAACGTCAGCAGCTGCCAACACCATCAGCAGCACCAGATTCAGTTATTTTGTTGCAAGCCATCAAATCACTCGCCCAGGTTCTTTGCGGTAATGAAGTCAAACCACATGTTGCCTAGTGGCAAGGCCGGGCGCCATGTCCAAAACTGTTTGGACCCATCAAAAAAAAACACAAACTTTTTTTTTATATAAAACCTTATTTATGTTTTTTTTTAAGTGTATTTATGAAGTAATCATATTTGTCAACTACTAACTAAAAATGTATATTGAATTGTAAAAGATTAATTATCTATAATCGCTAAAAAAAATTATTTAGTAGTTGCATCATTGCATTTAGTACACGAATTAATAACAATTGTAACAAACCCGAAGTTACTTATGGAAGGATGGACATTTTGTTAACTCACTTACCATTTGTCTTTCAAACCATAAACTTCAATAAAGAAAATCTTCTATTACCCATTCGGATTGAACTGAAATCTAAATATTTAACAGTGAAGTTTATTTGTGAAGTTTAATAATATATTTCGATTATAAATAAACAATTAATTAAAAAGAGACATTTAACTCGAACATATTATTTTTGGTGATCCTACAATAAAGTAAAGGTGAGAATCCCTAATTATTTGAATAAAAGAAAAACCCTCCTCTCATTATTCCCATTTTTTTTTTTCTTTATTCCCCGGCAACCCGTACTTATAAGTATTCAATACGAATAATTATAAGTTCAAATCTAGTAACGGACTCTCTACTCCTGCTACAGATTTGTTTAATACAGCAACAGTATTTCAATAATATAATATAATATATATATATACTATATAATAAATATAATATACTATAATAGATAAAGAGAATATAATAGAATATAATATATATAATATATATAATATAAATATATATAATATAATATAATATAATATAATATATACAATCTAATATAATATAAACACAACTATAATCTAATCTCCTCTATCATCTCATCTCCTCTCTCTCCTCTCCTCTCCTCTCATAATCCTTCCTCACTCTCCTCTCCTTCTATCCTCTCCTCTCCCTCTCTACCTCTCTCTCTCTCCTTCATCTCCTCTCTCTACTTACTATCTCCTCTCTCTCTAATATATTCCTCTCCTCTCCTCTCCTCTCCTCTCCTTCCTCTCCTCTCTCCCTATCCTCTCCTCTCCTCTCACTCTCCTCTCCTCTCCTCTCCTCCTCTCATTCCTCCTCTCATATCCTCCCCCCTATTCTTCCCCTCCTATCCCCACAATACATTATTAAAATCATACTTGCCTTGTATATTAAAATTGTACCACCAAATGAAAAACCTAATTCAAAATGTCAAAATATTAATAATGGAAGTTCATCACAACCAGCCAAGAAAAACAATCTCACCAAAGTCAGGATACTGTATCCCTGTCAAAAAAACAATCGACCAAATTAAAAGATAGAAGCGTGATCCCCAATCACTAAAAGTAGAAAGTACAAGAACATG